CAAACTAATCTTTCTTATAAAGATGCCTATGTAAAAACTCCTAAAGGGACTTACGCTTAAATCACTTGAAATGACTCTTCACAATCTAGACCCTTATTTAATTGTAATTTCTCTCCAAAACCTACCCATTTTACACAAATAATTTATCGGAAAAATAAAAGGGCTCGCCCACAAACTCCTGATCCTATATTAAACATACATAAACAAATCGTTACCTCCTGTTAATGTCCCTTATTCCCCAGGAGGTATTCTACAATAATTATTATATTCCGCTAATTTACGAAAAACATTAAATCCACTTGTAAACCCTTCTAAAAATAGTGTAGATATTTTAAACACTACCCTCTTAGACAAAATTAATACTATTTTCAACCCTCTCAAAATCAAAATTTCATTCGATATACAAGAACAAAATATTTTAGATACCATAAACACTAAACTAAGAAATATCTCCTTAGTTTATATCTCATTAAATACCCACTAGTTCGGTCAAATTAAAAATATATATTTTTTTAATTCACATTTCAACTTACCATAGAAAAGCGATATTGATAAGGTCAGAATACACTTTAAACTAGTTACCTGCTTTCTTTAAAATACCCTATTTTAACATGATATTAAGAGTAGATTATAACCGAAAAATAACTTTCTTCATACATTACAACATGTGTGCAGACATAAATAGACTTTCCACAAAGTTTCAATGAAATTGCAGATCAGCAGTTGCAAATAAAGCAAATTAGAACATTTATTACATAATTACAATTCAAACATAACTTTACTGTCATAAACTATGTCGAATGGACAGAGATGACGGTAAAGCAAGTGTAGCCTTATTAATCAAAAATAACTTATCTTTCTTAGAGATCTCATTGGCAATAATATCAAAAATAATGGCTACGTATGTGTTTGTGTTACTATAGTGAATTTCAAAAAATTACATATGGTATCAGTTTATATTAAATCGTCATTTAAACTTACAGTAAGCCAATTTGTAACCTTTTTTAATAACATCCTAAAACAATGTAATGTTAGTGTGGACTTAAGTGCTCATCATCAAGCATTTGGCTCATAAGCAGACGATACGGACGGAAAAAATTTACATAGGCATTAAATATTTATAGTATAGTTTTTCTAAACACGGGAGAGCCAAAACTGTCGTTACAAGACCAGGCCAAAGAAATAGTGCGATAGACATAGAAGGTGCTTTTGATAAAACCACCTTTCCAAAGATAATACACTCACTAACCAACAGGAATGTTCCACAAATGGTTAGTGGGTGAATACGTAACATACTATCGAAGCAAGCAGTAAACATAAGTGTAGAAGATGTGAATATAAGAGACTTGGTTGCGAGGGGATGTCCACAGGGAGGGGTGCTATCTCCTCTACTGTGGAATATGGTCCTCAACACCCTCATCAGCCGTCTCAATAATGATAGTCACTACACAATAGCATATGCAGATGACTTGGTCATTCTGCAAACAGGGAATTTTGAGAACATACTCTGCGAAAGAATGCAAGTAGCTTTTAAAATTATAAAACAATGAACAGTGGTGCAAGGTCCATTGACTGTCTATTAATCCTACGAAGACAGAAATGGTCCTTTTCACAAGGAAAAGGATGAACATGGAATTAAAACCACCAGAATTCCTAAACACAAAACTAAACTTTGCAGCAGATGTAAAGTACCTAGGTCTCACCTTTGACAGCAAGTTAACATGGAACTCACATTTAGAAAACAAAGTTAAAAGAGCATACATTGCTTATGAAAAATGCCGCTGAACCGTGGGGCGCACCTAGGGTTTCTCCCCCAGAGTAATCGCATGGACGTATACGGCTATCATAAGACCTATGCTGACATACGGTACAGTTGTCTGGGTACCGAAAACCCAAAAATTAACAACTATCCGTAAACTAGAACATATTCAAAGAACAGCATGTCTCAACATAACAGGAGCCATGAAAACAACACCGACCAGAGCCATGGAAGTCATTCTTAGTCTCACACTTCTTGATATATACATCAACGAGGTTACTCTGACGACAATGACATGCCTTCGCATGTGCAAAATTCTGATTTTTAAGAAAATTGTTAAACTAAAAGTTGTTTGCGATATCGTTATAATTTTTGTTTTTTACATGATTTTTCTAAAGTGGACCGTAATGGAAAAATTGGAGGAAAAGTGCTAAATTTGCATTTTTCAGTATTTTCATTTTCAATGAATATCTATAGAAAAATGTTTTGAGTTAGACATTTATAGAAGTGCTGCAATAGATTGTACAAAATAATCAGAAAAAATCTCTAATAACTAGATAGGAAAGTCATGTGTTGGACACATCAGATTTTTTACCTTCCTAAATTCTGCATTTTAAATAAGCTCTTTTTTAACTACATATTTTTCAGTTCCTCCTAAATATGTTTTGTAGGTAGATATGTAATAATGGTGCTTAATTTCATTTCAACAAATAGAACTGGCATACCTATTTATCTAATTTTTCCATTCAATTGAAATACCTACTATTTACTTTCTTTTCTGTTATTATAATCTTTTTATCTTTATCTTTTTCGGTTGTAAGCAGGTAGGGTTAGGTTTGGCCCAGAACACTGCGGCCTTTTGGGTCTAATGTATTCCCCTGCTTTCGCCGTATTCAGGTACTATCTTTGAAATAGTCCTGTGTCTTTGGTTAGTTTTAATAAGTTCCCTTCCAAGTGTTCCTGGGGCGTTCTTTCCGGTTCTAGGCCGAAAAGGACGAAACATCGCCTAGGCAAGAACTTCGCATTCAAATATCACATAGTATGAGGTTTCTTCCTCTTTCATGCAGAGTCTACACGTAGTGGGATCATTGTGTAATCCCATTACATGAAGGTGTTTCATCAAGCAGTGCCCCGTTAGTAATTCCATAATGGTGGATATCTGAGGCCTTGTGAGTAGTAGTGTCTCAGTAGCCATGCGTGGGTTTGGTCCCCTTAGCATGAGTTTACTGATTATGTGCCCTCTTATCTGCTGCCAATGAATTTGTTGTTTTGTTTTGTGTTTATTATAATTATAATATTAATAATAATAATACTCTCCCTAATTCATCCCCTTACGAGTGAATTTTAACCCCAAAAGCTGAGTTTGTGCGGGAAAAGGGACGACTATTATTGTTATTTGCCGTGGCGCTCCGGGGCTACTTAAAGATGATTGATGGTGCCATTTGACTTACAGGTGAGGAAAACCCGGAAAACCTCACCCACCATCATTGAGACGGTAATGCATAACGATTTTATAATCTACAGGTCATATCAACAGAAATTGAATTTATATTAATACGGCACACATCAAATCCTATACCGAACCATGCAATTTAATTTAAAATCCACATGGTCTGGTCTGGGATTTGAAGACCGGCAGTCTCGGACCATAAACTTGCCTATAAATGAATATAAGCACGTTAGACTACTACACCACCGACCCCATATATAATTTTCTAATCACAGTATTTTGTTTTACTCAATTTATTGACATTTAGTCGCTGCTTGGGCGCTGCGATATGAGACGAAGTAATGAAAAAATAAAAGTACAACTAAATTACAATAATTATAAATCAAAAACAATTTAGTTTCATCTTTATTGGTTAGTTATCTAAAACTTTGACTTCAATGTATTGATAACAAAGTTTTAAAATGTTTTTCTTGAAATTCAAATTTACCGCTAAAATGATATCTAGTTTTTTAGTTATTTTTTCCTGTGTAAATAGGACTTTTCAATTCGCTCCTCTTTGTTTAAAAACAGAGTATAGTGCCAGCTGTGTGGAAATAGCAAGTATTTCATAAAAGAGTCAGTAACTAAGGCAGTAAATTCATTTAGACACAATCACCGTTGGTCAACCTGTAATAATCTCGTCCAAGAAAAAGTAGAATTAGCTAGTTTGCTACAGTTGTAAAGAAGGTTGGTGTTTTGCGAAAGTCGGAAGTTGAGGGACATCAATGATACAATGTGGTAGTTACCATATTTAAATAACTTACGGCCAATTATAAGAAGGTAGGACAAAAAAAAGTAAGCCTGATCGTAGGTGGTTAAATGAACTTCATCTTGAAGGTTAGCGTTAATGTGGGCCCAACGCGGGAATCTACGTTGAGTCCAAAGCAGGATCCCTTTTAATATGGAGTTTTCTGCCCAATTAAACAATTTTGAAAGATGAAGGTGTTTATAAATCGCCACATCTGCACGGTTTCGGAGTGTACACTGTCAGGTAGTACACCTGGTTCATAAAAATGAACACACATACACTCATGTCGTACTTCATCATTGACAAGCAATAAACCAGTATCATTCCAACTGTCGTATTATTCAAACCTGTCATCGATTCCTTTATATACACAGCACTAAAATTTTTAAAAAATTTAGTAGACGAAATATGATTAGTGAAACGGTGAAGAAACACTCAACGGTACAGAATTACTAAAAAAAGATATTTATATGTGGGACAGATTTAGAGTTTTATTTTCTCATAATATTATTTTTTGGCGTACTATTGACCCTTAGTGAATTATGAAAAACCCTGTATAATAGGTTCCCCTTGTAATGGGTGGCTGTAGCCGTGTATCCCTTACAGGCAGCTACCACTGTAACGAAGATAACAGGGTGTAAAACTTTTGAGTGATTCACTCTGTAGATTGCCGATTTTTTCAGTTACCTAGGTATCCATGACCTTTCAATATTCAACTTTAACATTGCCTCAGGCTTGTATATATTTGTATATAATTTTTTTGTTAATAACAACTTGTTAAATAAAATTAAAAATATTCACATTTTTAGGTATTCATTTAATTCCTTATAAAAAAGATACAATAATATAAACTTAGATTCTGATGATGTAGATGTTCTTTATTCCTAATAATTGTAATTCTTGGTATTTAAAAACTGTTTTTTTTAGTTAACATCCGCGCTTATTAATGTTTAGTTAGAAGTTGAAATTATAGTTTGAACAGTGAATTATTAAAACAATTTCTATTAAAATGCAATCAACTGCAGATTTAGTTACAGATTCGGTAGCAGATCTTAATGCTAAAAGTGAAAAATCTTTTAAGGAAATGAAATTTAAAGAAAAAGTGTCTTATATCCGCGAGGTGATAACTGTGGAACCGATTATTTGCTCCTATATGATGGCTGGACATTTATGCACACCCGCAATATTTAATTTAGAACTGGAAAAATCCTGTAGGTCTAATTTGGAATTTAATGATACTGTGTGTGAAACTGTATTAAGTGGAGAAATAGAGAATATAACTGAACAAAATGGTAAAATAATAGAGGTGATAAACAGTATGCATTCTTGGCAACAGCCAATGCAGAGTGTAATGCCTCTTATTTTGATACTCTTTCTGGGATCGTACAGTGATAGGCATCGATGGAGGAAACCTTTTTTGATTATGCCACTTTTGGGAGAAATGATCTCGGGCACTGGCTTAATGTTTTGTGTATTTTTTATGAAAAATTGGACTTTGGGTGTACAGGGTATTTTTCAATTAGTGATACCTTCGATTTTTGGTGGTCAGCCCATGATAACCATGGCAGTTTATGCGTACATAGCAGATGTTAGTACTATTGAGATGCGGACTTTAAGAGTTGGAATAGTTCAAATTAGTACCGCTATGATTGTTCCAGCAACTCAAATAATCGCTGCGCATATGCTTGAATTAACAGGTAAGTAGATTTAAAAAAATATACATATTTTTAAAAAATTATTTTGTCTATATAGTTAAGTTAAAAACACTAAGTTTCCAAAAAAACTCAAACTTTATTAAAAAAATGTACAAAAATTGATCTTTAATTAATTTCAAATTATTATGTAAAACAATGTTTATCGTAATACGACTTTGCTGATGAGGCACTTCGGGCAATGAACAGTGTATTTCTATCACATTTCTCCTTCCTTCTTTGGTCCTAGCTTCGTCCTCGAAGTCTCTACGAGTAATTCCTGGAGAACCTCGATTTGTGCTGGTTGTAATTTGGGACCAAAAATAATTTTTTATATTCTTTTCTTTTTCTTTACTATGCTGGTAAAAAGGATAGCTAAAACAGAAATTATAAGGACAAGGACGATAGTGCTAAGTCCTGTTGAAATTTGTGGCTTAAGTGCTATTGGCTCTATTGGTTGGAGTGGTCCGTGGTTTTCTGGGATATTCAATTTTTCAATGTTTAATTTATGTTTAGGAATTAGCCTAATTGGGATGACTTCTGAAATGGCGATTTCTTGAATAGTTTTCTTATCATAGTGAATTCCTTCTATGTCGATAGGTTCATCTGACAACGGGATGCTGCTTTTTCGGATTCCTTGTTATAGTCTTGTAGTCGTTTAACATTTGAGCGAATTGCGAAACCACATTTTATTAATTTTGTAATGAAACAACAGATATTTCAAAAACCAATATTTTATTCTTACAAACGAAAAAAAAAAACCAAACAGTTAACAAATAAAACATTCAATTATCCAACAATTAAAAATGTTTTTTCTGGATTTGGCTGCTGCAAATTCTTTTATAATATTGTCAAAATCAATTTTAACGAGAATCTCTTGCTCTATAGCTAAGATTGCCAAACCCGATAATCTTTCTTGTGACATAGTAGACCTTAAATAATTTTTAGGTATTTTTAATTTTGAGAAGGATCTCTCACCAGAAGCTACAGATACAGGTAAAGGTAAGCAGGATTCTTAACGAAATGGTAATATTTGGTAGAGATGAAGTTAGATTGTTTTCAAATATATATTGTAAAATGTCGAGGGGATTTGACGCCTCAGGTAATGAAAACAATCTTAGGGCTTTTATCTCATTAAATAAATCATTTTATTCTACGTCAGCCTCCTCCTTTTTCTGATCAGTTAGCTTTTGCTGTAGAGCACGACAGTATTTTAAAAGATCCTCGTCATTTAATTTAAAAATATCACTAAAAAAACCAAAAACGTTGTCGTAATCAGATATCATTTCAAATCTACTATTTAAAGAACTTAGTGTTTGATCAATTATTTTTAAAAATAAATTTATTTTAAACGCTATTTTTGGATCTTGAGGTGTCTCATCTCTCTGTTCATATTCGAACAGTTTTGGTTTATACTTTCATCTAACAGTATTTAATGGAGGAAAACCTATCTTAAGAGCGGCTGCTAGTTCTCCAGCTTGAGCAAGTTTTTCCTCGAAAACATCATCTCTATAATTTTTAAAATTATCAACTAGATTCTTTAAATAGTTTTGGCACACTTTTATATCAGTCGCTACACTTTGCATCATTTTACATCATTTTGCTTACAATGCCAATCTGGAATAAAACATCGTACCAAATTATTACACTGCAAAAATATTGGTTACTTAAGGTTTATATGGACCCACCTCCTCACTCGTTTCTGACTCTAGAGATGGCTCTACCTGTCGAATCAAATTTAGTATACAATTTATTAAAGCTACAGGGTTCTATCTGTGATAGAATAATATTTCGTTAGTTTATATCGCTGCCAAAAGAGACTGCTAGCACAATAATAGATTACGCGGGAGATCTTTATGATTCGATGTGAAGAACGTTGCCAAACTTCAATATAATTATGTTTTATTTGTTTATGTTGTAAGCGGAAGTGAGGTGTTGAGCGCGGACGGCCCAAGCCATCCAGCTAAGAGATGGATATGACCTGGCGAGCTTTTGTTAAGTCTTCCACTGGTCCGCTCAATCATTCTCAACTATGAACTTTACTGAAATAAAATTATTTAGGGTGAGCGCATTATCCTTAAAATATGGTATAAAATTAGAATATAATCCATGTGGTTTGGCGAATGGATTCAGTTCGCGCAGTCAAAAAATTGAAATAAAAAACTGACTGGAGGATACGTTCGCGCGCTATGGTTAGGTACTATTTAATAATTAAATGAATATTAAATAATTTCAATGAAAACTATCCATAATTTTAAAGGTGAGAAGAAAAAGAAAAAAAATAGACATAAAGGTAAAGAAAGAAAGAACGTAAACAAAAGCTCAAGAAATGCAACTTCTAGACGATTCAATGTACACCTCAGGTATACATTTTTGAAATCGAATAGTATAAAAGAGTAGAAAAATGTGATAGTATACAGAGTAACTAACTAATATGTACCTTAAAGGTAAAAAAAATTACTCAAAATCAATCCCACGTAATTTAATTTAAGTTAAATGACAACCGGTTTCGAGATTAGGCCATCATTAGGTCTAAAAATAAAGTAATACGCACTTACAATATAAAATGACGTCTCCATAAAATATTTAAAAAAAATACACGTGTATGATTAAAATGGCAGTTGTAAGAGATACCATATGTGGGAAATATGATAGAAATTGTACAAGTTGAAAAAGATTTCCATAAAAAACTTATAGGCTAACACTACTCATCGCCATATTCTCACATTTATCAACATGTCCCATATAATATTTCTTACAACTACCTTACCCTTGTTGGGGCTCGGTTTCAATCATGCACGTGTATTTTTTTAACCTTTTTATGGGCACGTCCTAGTAGTGTTTTGTTAGCGCTTATCACTTAATTTTTAGACAAATAAAGAAACTTAAAAGTTAAATCTCCTGGCTACTACATCTATTAGCAAGGGACATAACACTTTGCAAGAAAATTTGTTAAAATTGGGTATTCCTTCTTTTGATATTCTCACGTTTTCCATGTTTCTTAATAAAATATGTCACAATTAATGAATTTAGGGGTGACCATTCAATAATTATATCACTAGAGCCTTAATCATATTGCCTTGAACTTGGCTTCGTAGCCCTTAACTGAATCAGGGTCCTACTCTCGACATTAGAACCTAACACGTCTCTGTAAAAGGGCCGAAAAAAACACAATGTTCTCTTAAAACAAATAGTATTTCTATTAGGAAATATGATATATTGGGCAATTTATGAGTTTTAAGATATAAGCCAAATAACACGTTGTTCTAGGCAACAGTAGTACAAACTAAAACCACAATGATTGACTGTTTGGACAAGACTGCTTTACCCGGGAATATTAATTGTAAATCATGCCTCTTCCATTACCTCAAGGGCTAACAATTTCTGTGCAACAAAACAATTCTACAAAATACTTCACAGCTGAACATACACAAATATGGACCAACACTATCTTTAAAACAATTTAACTTACCAACTGCAATATCTGCGACACATGTAACAACAATTTGTTAAAACCGCGATTTAAAATAAAAAAGGACTTTTAATTTTCTACGATGGAGATCCAGAGCCTTTGGTCGAAGTCTTAGTGATCAGGAACCGTTACTGGGAATATCCTACAAGGAGGCTCTCTTATGAACCCGATGAAGAGGATCATCTATTGTGGAAAACGCCCTGTGTGTCTCTTTGAGGTTACCTTTATAACTTCTGTATAGTTTATTGTTATTAAACTAATATTTAATAATTATTAAATAATCAATTTTGTACATGATTGCAACTTAAAACCAATTCGCGAAATAATTAAACAAACTTTTACGTACAGGGTGTTATTTAAATAAATAATTAAAATTTGGAAAAATGTGAATTTATACGAAGCGTGACAATAATATTAAAGTTATAACAAAACAAATCGAAGAGTCGGAAGAGGCAAGTACGATTCATACCTACAACAACGGTTCTAAAACAAAACAAGGCTTAGGATGTGGAATATACTTCACATCTTTAAACCTAAACATAAAGTGGCTGTGAGCAGTAATGCCAGTGTAGTTCAAACCAAGCTCATGGGAATTCTCATAGCAGCAAAAGAAATCACAAGAAACAATATCACTGGAAGAAACATGCCATCTATACAGATAGCAGACATGCTGTACTTCCCCTGGACAGACCACGAATTTACTCAGGGTTGGTACTAGAATGTCATGAAGCTTTGGCCGAAGTATCCATTAATAATGTGTTTAACTACAGCAAACAAATACTTGACTATCACTAGATGCATGATCACAGGCATTCTGACGGGTCACTGCCAAGTAGGGAAGCATCTCCATGTCATGGGGCTGGCAGAATCCGCACTCTGCAAAGGGTGCAAACAAAAAGATGATATCATCGAGTATATCGTCTACAAGTGATCGATGCTCACATTTATTAAATGATTTGTATTCGTTGATAATTGGCTAACACCAGCCGATATAAGAAAGGCACCTCTTGGCAATATTGTCAACTACATTAAATCTGTAGGCTGGCTCACGAGCTAGGAGGTGCCGATCTATTTAGGAAGATGCAAAATGGGTTTAGTAAGGCCTAAGTGCCATGGGTTAACCCACCCTCCACACGTTACAGATATAGATGTTAAACTTAACGAAACTGTTGCAATTGAAACATATGCTTCTATTACCAAGAATACAGTTGTTGAATGTGGTTTATTCATCTTTTAAGAAAAATGTTATCGTCTTAGGAACTTTACCGGATGGATTGGTAGATGATGCTAAAAATTTTTAAGTAAAGTGTTTTTACTTCGAGAATTTGCACTATTAAATGCAAAAAAACATGTTAAATACTTTTGTTCTACTACTGCTGATGGAAAAAAATTGTTCCTTAGGAAAACCATAACTAATTTTACTAAGTAAATGTTTAGTAATGATTTATTTTTTGTAGTATCAATAAGAATTTTTAAAAGGTATATTTATTAAATTTATTTATAATAGAAATAGTTTTTTTTTAGTTAAAAAAAA